TTTTGTTTCTTCTACCATCAAAGTGCTTCGTAAAACGCTAACGCTGTAACCTACAAACCACATTAACGCACTTGAAATCGCTCTTAAAATTACACAAGAGGATTGCTCAGAAATCAAAAGCTCGGCCAAAGAGATGCGTTCTTACCTTGTCCCTAAATGCCCGGAAAGCGGGGCCCGTGAGCATCACCCACAGATTCTGTCGCACGGCCTGCCAGGTGTGCCAGAAAAGGCCCTTTCCGGTAGACTGCCAAGCTCTGCTAGTGGGAAGGCCCTTGGAGAGGTCCCTCCCGCTATTTCCCACCAAAACTGCAATATTGAGAGGAGCGGTGGCAATCGCAACCTCCCACCCTGTTTCCCGCTTCCTCTTGGGGTTTTTACTGGGCTCCCAACCTTACTCCATTTCCATCCCTGTCTCTTTAAAAGGAAAAGCCTTAACCTCACTGAAAGTGGCAAAAAAGGGGGGGGGGAATCCTCAAGGACAACTTACCTGTTTTCCCCCAGTTCCTTCTTAACAGCCACAGCAAGGGGTGGGGGGTCACCCATCCGGCGGAGGCTCTAGGCTGGAAATCAAGGGAGCGTGACCTCCTTTCTCCACTGCCTTTTCCAAAAAGGCTGATGGTTCCGGCAGGCGTCCGCCCCCTTCCTCCTGGCCCTACATCAGTCGATGCAGCCGTGTCTGGGGGAAGTTAGCAAAATTGCAAGCCGGACTCTGCAAAGACCCGGGTCTCCTGCTGCCCCCAGAGAGACCTGCTTTTCCTTTCTCTTACCGCTGGGCGGTGGGTGGGCTGTTTACGGCAACCTGGAGAGGAAAGGAAGGAATCTCCTATCCGTCCTAACCCTGACTTGTTTTGGAGGAAGGTCTACAAAGTTAGATGGACGGCGAACAAAATAATAAAAGCCATTCATTAGTTGCAACTTCTCACGTCTCATCCCTTTTATCCATCCTTTAAATGATAAACCTAGAAGGGAACGATAGGTTATACACATTTTCAAAATAAACTGCATTTATTTTTATATTGATCGTTTCTTAATAAAAATGCACACAAGTTCAAATAGAGATTTGATATTGCGCCTAGATTAATACATAGGGATCTCTAAGAAATATAGTTTAGAAACATCAAACCTAAATACAAACCTACATACGTACGATCTCCTTAAAGAAATAGCAGGGCAGGACAAACAAAACTATTCTTGAATAAAAACACCTGGATTTGCTTAAAGGGGGCGAGCGGGGTGCACTTTTTGGAGGAGCAACCTCTTTAAGATGTAACACAGGGAAGCGCGATACGACTGGTTCTTCTACATCCGGGACTCGGGCGCTGGGAAAACACCATTCAACGGCTGCCTTGCTTGGCAGCCTTCGAGGAGACCCCCGAGACGGGTCGGAACCCCCTTCCCGACCCGAACGGCAAAAGCCTGGAACGTGCCCCGCCGGCCCCGCCTCTAAAAAGGAGCTAAAAAGAAGCCGCGGCTGAGCTCGCGTAAACGATCCCGAAGTGTGCTGTTAAAACAAGCTAACTTCGTCTCTACGTTCCCAATTTAGCCCCTATAGCTGAAAGGGAAAGAGCGCAAAGAGACCAGGTCTCACAACCTCCGGCGCCGCCGCCGCCACCGGTTCTCGGTCGCATTTTTACAGACACCGGCGGCGAAAGGCCAGGCGGACATCTTAGGGGAGAGGACCAAACGAGTGGCCGGGGAGGAGGGGGAAGGTGGGGATCCCCCGCTAACTAGGTAACAGAGAAAGCCGGTATCTTTCTGGAATCAGGAAATGCGGGGATGGCTCGGCTCACCTGAGGCAGTAGCAGGCTTCCTTTTTTCCTTCCTGCGGCTCCGTCAACGTAGTGCAGAAAAGAGCACGGGAAAAAGCAGGGAACCGTGCTGCCAACGGACAGAAAGTTGAGTACGGCCTCGGCGGATGGACAGGAACTCGGCCGTACTGGGAATGTCGTCGTCGGATGTCATGCTACGGAACGGAAAACTGTGCCCTCCTGTGGTCAAACGCGGATATTGCGGTCGCCGAAAAAAATAAAGCTTTTAAATGGGATTTTAAGGCTATTTATTTTTCCCCCATCTTTATTAGTAACCTCTTATTAATATTAATAGGGCGACGGGAGGCCCTTTTGCCATTTTCAAAGGTTTATTTCTTTTGGTGGCTGCTATACCCGGCGTGGCCACGGGAGGGCACTGTTTTCCCTCCCTTAGAGATAGCGGCATTGAGGCCGTGGAAAAGGCCTACGGTGGCCTTGGTGGTAAATGCTATGGGACGGGTATTGCGGCCGCCAATGGAAATAAGCCTTTTGAATGGGGTTTTAAAGGCTTACCTCGTTGATCGGACTGGAGTCCGCCCTGCCCAGAAGATCCCCGAAAAAAAGGAAGTGGAAGGATGATTAAGAAAAACTGACCGGAAGTCGCCCATATTGGGAAGGTCACATTGCAAAGACCCTGGAGGACGGCGAATTTGAGCGGACGAGAAATCGACCATGCTGAGGAGGTCTACCCGAAAAGAAGTAGGGGGAAAGATTAAGAACGAAGGGCCGGAAGTCGCTCATGATGGAAAGGTCCTTTTAACCGCAGCACCTGGGTGACGGCCGATACCGACGGACAGGAAGTCCACCGGGCCGAGTGGGCCTCTCGCAGATTACCCGTGAAGAACCAGCCGGCGGACATGCGCCGAAGGCCGAAGGAAGCGGCCCGACCCTTTCGGAGGAGCATAGTGTGGCGACGCTCTGCGCTTTGCAGCTTAGCTTCTCGGTGTCCCGATGCTGGGCAAAAGGCCTCAACATTAATGCTACGGGACGGAAAACTCTTCCCTCCTGTGGTCAAAAACGGGTATTGCGGCCCCCAAAAGAAATAAACGCTTTTAATGCCATTTTAAAATTACGATATTCTCTGTCTTTTTTAACGGTGTTAACACCTTATTAACAGGGCCAGGGGAGGCCCGTTTGCTGCAACGCACAGGCGCGGAAGAAGAAATCTGCTTCAAAAGCCTTCAACCTAGTTAAGGAGGACTATGATGCCCTATTAATATTAATAAGGTTTTAATAATAAAGAATAGCCTTAAAATGCCATTGAAAAGTTTTGTAATGGGCTGCTATACCTGCTTCAACCACGGGATGGCACTGTTTTTTGACCCTTAATAGCATCCAATAGCTTCAATAGATAAATAAATAATAATAATCTTAAAATCATGTTAAAAGGGTTTATTTCCTTTTGTGGCTGCTATTCCTTCTTTAACCGTAGGACTCAATTCTTCCCAGAGGGCTTGACCGCTTTAGTCTCAATAAATAACTTCCCCTCTCCCAGGAAACAGGCGATGGGAGCCTAAGCGGGCCTCCTGTGCACTTTCCTCACTGTTTTTAAATATCCATAGGCTACAACCAACCCAAGCAAAGCGGCTACCAACAGAATAGCTTGTCGGTGTCCCGATCCTGGGCAAAAGGCCTCAACGTTAATGCTATGGGAAGGGAAACCCTGCCCTCCTGTGGTCAAATTGGATATTGCTGTCGCTGAAAGAAATAATCCTTTTTAATGGCATTTTAAGGTTATTTTAAGAAATCTGCTTCAAAAGCCTTAAACCTAGTTGAGAAAGCCTAGGATATTAATAAGGCTTTATTAAGAAAGAAGAATAAGGTCCAGGTGAGAGGACAGGACTTGCTGCAGCAAGACCTGCAATGTACGCCCCATCCCAGAGAAGATGTGATTGACCCACATTTTTCAATTATTTATTTATTAGATATGTATGCTGCCCATCTCACTACCCAGAGAATCTGGGCAGCAGATAAATTTAAATAAAGATCTGGAAAAGAGGCCACTAAGACAAGCTTGTTCTTTCCATTCACTCTTGCCAGCTGTGAGATAACAAATGCTCTACTCTAACTCCAATGGGAGATAGAATTATTTCCGTCTTTTGTCATAGCGGGGACGCAACATCAGCTAGATCTTTAATTTTCATTCATAGGTAACCTCTCCTTATTGATGCTTAAACTAAACGACCCGTGAATGTAGGGTGGGAATGGAGACTCTATTACTTGCCCAATTAAATTTTAATTCTCTTTACGAGTTGAATTCGAGGCTCAGTGCAGCAGACTGGGATAGTCCTCAATTTACAACCCGAATTGAACCCAAAATTTCCATTGCTAAGCAAGACAGTTGAGTGAACTTTGCCACTGTTGTTAAGCAAATCACAGCAGTGGTTAAGTTAGTAACATGGTTATTAAGTGAATCTGGCTTCCCCATTGACATTTCTTGTCAGAAGGTTGCAAAAGGTGATCACGTCACTCCAGGACACAGCAACTGTCATAAATATGAGTGAGTTGCCGAGGGTCCAAATTTTGACCTCAGGCATGTTGCAACAGTTGTAAGTGCAGAAAACTGTCGTAAGTCACATTTTTCATGCCACTGTAAGTTCACATGGTCACTAAACAGATGGTAAATTGAGAACTACTTGTATTTTTTTAAAAAAATTGTCTTCCATGTTTTTCACAGTAATGTGAAAGAGTGGGCACCGAGAGGTACCATTTTAAGGTTAAAGGCCAAAATAAAGGTCAAAAATGAGTTTTTGAATCTAAACAGGGGTATCAAACTTGCAACATTGCGTGACGTGTCGCAACGTATCATGACTTTTTTTCCATTGCCGGCAATGGGGTGTGCGGGGTTTCACCATGACTCATCTGGCCTGGAGGCCAGCAGTTTGACACCCCTGATCTAAAGGCCAGTTTTCTGAAATACTGTCCTTTATATTAAAGGACATCTAGCCACTGTACTATACTTTTAAAGGCCCTATTACTATTATAGCATTGGCACTGAAGACCATTGGTCATGTGATCAAAATTTGGGCACCTGGCAGTCATGGATTTACAACAGTTGCAGCATCCCAGGCTCATGTGATCCCCATTTGTGACCTTGCCAGCTGGCTTCCGACAATCTGATTCAATGAGTGAAACCGGATTTGCACTTAACAACTGCAATGATTCACTTAAGAGTCATGGCAAAAAAAAGATAAAATCAGGCAAAACTCACTTAATGACTGTTTTGCATAGCATTGGAAATCCTGCTCCCAGTTGTGGTCATATGTCGAGGACTCTCTGTATGTATAAAATGTTGCAAAACAATGTGTAGCAGGTAACAGGTGAGTCCATTTATGTGCAGCATCTAAAAGAAAAATGGAGACAATTAAAGAAACGAAATCTTTTGCTGCTGAAAAGGAAGTAGAAGCAGCAGGTAGGGAAGGGGCAGGTGGGGAGGGGGCTCCACAGCAAGTTTATGCCTGGCTTTGGCAGGTGTAGGTGGCTCTCAGTGCTGGCCTTAGAGAGATGGGGGATTTAAGAAGTGAGAGATGGCCAAGGAAAGGGGAGCTCCTGAATGAAAGGCCCTAACATGTCCCCATTCCCATATACAGATGGCCCTTGACCACAATTGAGCCCAAAATTTTTGATGCTAAGTGAGACATTTGTTAAGTGAGCTTTGCCCCATTTTAGGATATTTTCTGCCACAGTTGTTAAGTGAATCACTGTAGTAATTAAGTTAGTCACACAGGGAATCTGGTTTCTCCATTGACTTTGTCAGGCCACAAAAGGGGGTCACCTGCAACCGTCATAAATACAAGCCAGTTGCCAATTTTGATCATGTTACTCTGGAGTTGCCACAAAGTTGTAAGTGTGAAAAATATTCTTGACTCATTTTTTTCAGTGCAGTTGTAATTTTGAATGGTCACTAAAAGAACTGTTGTAAATTGAGGACTACCTGTACTGGATATGCCCCCTATCCGATGTGGGGCTTACAAAGACTAACGGTGGTGCCCCTCACCAAACAATCCGGCAAATTCCAATCTGGGAAGCCCCCCCACCCAGCGTAAGAGCGTCAGTCCAGCAAGAGCCCAAAGCCTCGGAGTAGTGCGGGCCCCTAGTTGGAAGGGGGGGCAGAGGGAGGATGGACAACGCCCGCAGCTGCGTGCGCTCGCCAGCCCAATCTGGGTCTGGAGGGCGCCAGGTTGGGGAGCGGCGTCCCTGGGCTGTTAGGCCCGGCGGGGGCTCCGCTCGCCCTCCCACCGCCCAGGAAACCGGTCGGAAAGGGGCGGCGCAGCGGGAACAACGCCCGACCCCCGTTCCCTCCTCCTCGGCGGCGGCGCTGCTCGCCTGCATTTCGTACAGGAGGGCCGGAAGTATCGCCGCCGCCGCGTCTTGGCGCTGCCCGCCGAGCCAGAAGCACATGCGCCCTGCGCGCGGCCCGGCCCGAGGGTGGGGGAGCGCCCCTTCCCTTCGCCCGCCTCCCGCGCTTTAAAGCGCTCCCCGAGCGCAGCCGCCCCGCCGGGCTCGCCTTGGCGCACCGACAGCCAGCGCAGCCAGCCCCGCGCCCGCCGCCCGGTCCGGGCTCGACCGGCGGAGGAAGCCTAGCCCTGCCCGCCTCCAGCCGCCCGCCGCCGCCATGCCCAAGAAGAAGCCGGGGCCCATCCAGCTGAGCCCCGCGCCCGACGGCTCGACCATCAACGGCACCAGCGCGGCCGAGTGAGTGGGGCGCCTCTCTGGGCAGGGAGGAAGGGAAGGAAGGAAGGAGAAAGGAGGAAGAAGTAAAGATAGGAAGGAGTGAACGAAGGAGAGGAGGAGGGAAGAGAGGAAAGAAGGAAGCGGAGGTTCTCCGGCCAACGGCGCGTGCAGTTCTCGGGGCTGCTTGTTGCTGGAGGGCCGCGAGCGGAACCTTCCTTGCGCTTCCTCGTCTCGGTGCAGGCGATCCTTGCCGGCCACACGCGGAGGCATCGCCCGGCTGAGCTTCTCCCATGTGGAAAGAGTCGCCTGCCATCGCCCGGTGCCTACCCGCCCGCCGGCTGCGCACCCCGGGGCTGCCGCGTCACTCCCCGGCGCGACTCTGGCCGGTGCGGGGCTGAGCTGGGGCGGGGGGAGCGCAGACGAGCGAGGCTGGTGGCCGCCCTGGATTGAGTGCGCTTCAGCCAGCCAAGTTGGAGCTTCGCGCGGGCGGCTCGGGTCCTTCCTGCTTGTGCAGGGCTTTGGGTGGCTGCCTGGGAGTGAGGGTCTGCCCCTTCCAAAGCAGGATTCTTGGGAAACCTCTCCCCACCCTTTTTTTTGTTGTTGTTCATTCTGGACCCCCCCTGCTCTCCCCTGGTCTTTGGCTTGAATCTTCCCTTGTCTGGAGGAAGCTGGATCCTTGTTTGATCCTGGCTTTCGTTATTTTGTGTATGCAGCGCTTAGGTCAAAACAGGATGTATTCTTGGAATGAAATAGATTTAGGTGGAACTTAATAGGATTTCAGCGCAGGTATCAGACAGGATAAGAAAACAAGGCCAAGCAGACTTCACAGTAATGCTGGTCTTTATTTAGGATCTAATACTTGATTTCTGATTCAGAGAGGTGGTTCCACTTTGTGCCTAGGAATGAGGGATCCAAACGATCAACCTGGTGCTTTTATGTTTTTCCTTATGTATATGTTGACTGCTAATTGCCAGTATTTGTAGACTCTGTGGCCAAAATTCTTTAGAATTTGCAGGGCAGCTGGTTATGACAGATTGTTTTAGTGGAGCTGCTGGGGCATAGGGTGGGAGAGAATGTAGATTCTGGGCAAAAAATTTGGTAGTAATAAACTTTTCCTTTTTAAAAAACCCATAAGCATCAGGTTTTATTTCTCCTTTATTGAGCTTTTGTGGAGGCTAATTTTTTTTCAGTATTTTTTATTATTTATTTCACTGTATTTTTTTTGTTTGCTTTGTACTCAGAGTTCATGAGAGTTGGGCAGCCTGCAAGTTTAATAAATTATTATTACTATTATTTGCAGGAAAGTTGAGGAAGCAACAGAACTGTCTTTTGGAAATGCCACTGAGATCTGAATATTGGTTCTTGAGCTCTCTCCCTCCCTCCCCCCCTGCCCCCCTCTCTCCATATATATCAGCTTAAGGAATGGCAAAGTAGGAGCAAAAGGGTCACGTCTGCAATAGAAGAAGTCACCACTTGACTTTTTCAAGAACTGCCATTGATATTGGTGGTGATAAATAATCTGGAGTTTAAAGTGAAGATAGTGTTCATTCTAGTTTGATGTGTGGTCCAAATATGGCACCAAGTTGCTGACAGGTTTTGCATCCCATCTGATTTTAAAAGGTTTATTTATTTTAGAAATGGAAGCTTACACTCTGCAAAGCAAACCTGAGCCCAGAGGGTGACTTAACTATGAAAGAAGCAAATGCCATTTTATGCTGCTTCAGGGTGAGCACAGCAAGCACATTTGAGAAGCAGTGATTCTTTGCTAATCGATGGTTGCCCCTGGATTATTGTGTCCCCTTCTGGGCTCTGAGTGTTAATCATATTGAATGAACTGGAGCAGCCAAATTGGAGAGGGATCCAGAAAAGCAGTCCAGAGCAAATGACGCAGATCTTCCTGGAGCGAGGAAATATTCCCACCTGCCATGCAGTTGAGGGTGTTCAATTTAATTGTTTTGGCACTCTGACTATTGCGGAGGCTGTGATGGTAGTGTCAAGCTAGAGAAAGTTGTGATTGTCTGCAGTTCTGGCTCCTGCCTTCCTGAGATGGCATCCAGCTGGAGTTTGAACTGGAAGACGGATCCCTTCCAAATGGAATTCCGCAACCTGGTGCCCTAATCAGACCACACTTCAGAATGAACACTATCTTCACTTTAATCTCCAGATTATTTATCACCACCAATACCAATGGCAATTTTTGAAAAAGTCAAGTGCTGACTTTCTCCATTGCAGAAATGACCAGTTTACATTCCTAGTATCTTCCTTCCTTCCTTCCTTCCTTCCTTCCTTCCTTCCTTCCTTCCTTCCTTCCTTCCTTCCTTCCTTCCTCCCTTCCCTTCCCTTCCCTTCCCTCCCTCCCTCCCTCCCTCCCTCCCTCCAGGAGGGAGAGGAATAGATAAACTATCAAATCTCAATCTCTCTCTCTCAAAAAAAAAAGGAATAATGGGAGAGTCATCCTTCCTTTCTTTTGGGTTAGAATTGGATCCCTGTTGCAGTTTGAAAAGGAAATGCAAGTGATTCATCCAGCTTATTTGCCCAATCTGCTCCCCCCCCAAAAAAAGTCTTCAAGAATGAGAGAGCAGAGAAGAACTTTAACTGAAAACTGCACATGGCATGAATTTTTTAAAAAGAGATTGCTTTTTGACCTCTATAATTTGTCACCATTTGTTAAGAGTGGAAATGGGGAAATATAAATAGACAGCTTGCAGAGCAAAGTGCCACCATTATCCATAGGTATTCCTAGAAAATAAATTTGAATTACATTCTGAGATTTTGTCTAAAAGCACCCTTGTTGGTCCCAAAGAAGAGACCAAGGGAATGATCATTAATTCAAGCTTTGCCTTTATGCACAGTAAAATGGAGATGAGGTGAGCAAAAGAATCTAGGGACATATTTCTTGCTCTTGACAACTTAAAGATGTGTGGATTTCAGCTCCATGCCCGGCTAGGGAATTCTGGGAGTTGAAGTCTACATGTTTTCAAGTTGCCAAGTTTGAAAAACACTGTACTAGATTCTATTCCACTAAAAGGCTGAAGACATTTGAATGTTTACTGCTTTTTCCAAACCAAATATTATCCAGCTATGCTGGTTAAGTAGATGACAGAAATTGTAATTTTGTGCATTTCAGAGATGCAAGTCTGGTGTGAGTCCCCCTACAAGCAAACTTTCTTTGAATGTGCAACTTTTCAGATTATCCAGGGGTACTGAATTTTGTAATACTGTGTCAATTATAATCTAACCTATTGCAGAATAAAACATGCAAGTTAAAATGTTATTTTTAAGAAATTGCTAAGAGTTGAAGAGGGATGTGGGTGTTTCATGTGTCATTTGACAAATGTGCTTTGGATCAGTGGTGGCTGCTTTCATAGGTGACAGATGGGACAGAATGAATGCTCCCACTGTTCCAAACAAAACATCTTCAAGCCAAGCAAGAAAGTCCGGCTGCCTTTTGAAAGAAACAAAGCCCCTTTGGGACAACCATGCCCTGAATGACTGAGAACCTCCATACCAGCCCCGTTAAGCATATTCTCTGGGATCTGTCAGGGAGGAGTCCTCTGCACCCTCTTTCTCTCACGCAAGCTATCTGAACAGAATTGTCTCTTGCTCCTCTGGGAATGCAACCAATCCCTCCTGGGAATCCAGACTGCATTCCATTATGTCTGGGCACGAAGTCATAGGATTGGAAAAGGCCTTTCCAGGCGATTCTCTCCTTTCTTGGAGTCAAGAGATCTAATCCAATGCTGCCCCGTCCTGGGTGTGGGACTCCAGTCTAGCATCTCCAAAGGGCTTGTCCCCCAACCTCTCGCAGCTTGTTCAAGCCAAAGGAACAGAGGTGTTCTGGAAGCACAGGAAATGGGTTTCTCCATTCCTCCAGCCACCACTTCCCCCAGCAGCAAACAGCTGGACAGCCTTGGGTGCAATATATTAGCCATTTATTTCTTGCTTTTATTCTAGTAATTATTATAGGTAGCCCTTAACGTACAGCCACAACTCGGACTAGAAAACTCATTGTGAAGCTGTGCGATTGTTAAGTGAGGCATCACGTGACCACACCCGATTTTATGACTTTCTTCCCAGGGTCATTGAGTGAGACATCACATGACACTATTTGTAATCTTTCCTGCAGATTTCCCCACTGACTTGTTGGAAGCCGGCTGGGAAAGCTGCAAATTGCGATCATGTGATCACAGGATGCTGCACTTTTGTAACTGTGAGCCAATTTGCAAGTGCCTGAATCACAATCACGCAACCGTGGGGGTGGTGCAAGTGTAACTTCGAGGGTGGCTCATAAGTCACTTTGTCTGGACCCATCATACATTCAAAATACCATTAAACAAAGGGTCATAAGTTGATGAGCACCTCTGATATTATTACGATTGTTTGTCTTATACCATGTTTTCCCGAAAATAAGACCCAACCAGAAAATAAGCCCTAGCCTGATTTTTTTAGCTTGCTACTAATATAAGCCCTGCCCCCAAAATAAGCCCCAATTAAGATCACCATCAGCCCTGGGGAGTGGGGTGGGCATGGCCAGCACAGGAAGCAGTGAGCGTGCAGGGGCTGATGGTGTGCAGCATCAGCAGCCTGTCGGCCCCTTGGCCGGCACTTTTGGGGGCTGCATAGCCCGTGCAATGCAGGTGAGTTGTTGCTGCGGGCAAGCCGAGAGACGGGACAGACTGGGCAAGTGGCCGCGGGAGGTTTGTCCTCGTGGCAGCAGGCGGATGCAGAGGCACGGGGGAGGCAGGCGATCCCAACATGCTACACAGCCGCCAGCCCACTCCATCCCACTCTCTCTCAGCTTGCCTGCAGCCGCAACGTCAGCTGGGCTGATCACCCTGATATCGTGTTTCCCTGAAAATAAGCTGTAATGGATCTTTTGGAGCAATATATGTATATATATACTTACGAAGCTACCAGAAGCATCTGGCCAAGAAGCTAAAAGAATGCCTGATGAGAAGCATCTTTAGCCCAAAGTGAAGGGCTCATTTTCCTCTTCCATAAAAAAAAGAAACACATGAAAC